GTTGATTAACTCAGGCCAGGGCTTCTAGCCCTTGATCAGTGACATTTAGAGATTTCCCGGTTGTTACATTGTCTTCTATTGAGTTCTTCTGTTGGTTGATCTGCAGCTTCCAGATGATAATTGCTGCCTGCTACTGTGTTACACATTCAATCACTGATTCACTTGCTCTTTCAGAGGCCAGCCTGATACAGGGAAGGGCAGTTTGATTCCTGCCCTTGTTAACATTGTTACAATGTATAATTTACTTATGAAACTAAACATATTCAGTTGAAGGTTGAAAGGTGAGGAGTATAAAATATAAGTTACAAATGCCATGGCACACAAATAGATAAAAATACCAAACTATAAGGGGAGATACAAAATGCACACATACAAATTTTAAAACACAATTCCTTATCTTAAAGTGAAAGAGAGAGGAAGGAAGAAAAGGTAGAAAAAGAGAAATATATCCAAAGAGGGAAGAGCAAATGCAGGCAAGAGGAAAAGGGGGCTTTCTGCTACACTACCACCCCTGTACCACACCCCAAGCCTTGCAGGTGTAACGGACATTGTTTGGTCTCTCTCTCTCTCTCTCTGTCTCCGCCCTCTCTGGCACTTGGGCTGTCTGCAGCCCAGTCTCTCTCTCCCTCCTTGCACCTTCTCTGGCATTCGGGCTCTCTGCCCTCTCTCCGGGGCCCTCTCAGTAATGCCGCCCTCTCTCCAGGGCCCTCTGTGCCTGCACTGGGGCTTCTCAGCAATGCCCTCTCTCTGGGGCTCCTCAACTGCCCTTCTCTGGACTCACTGCGCCCACACTGGGGCTTCTCAGCAGTGCCCCCTCTCCGGGGTTCCTCAGTAATGCCACCCCTCTCCAGGGCTCACCACGCCTGCACTGGGGCTTCTCAGCAATGCCCCCTCTCTGGGGCTCCTCAACTGCCCTTCTCTGGACTCACTGCGCCCACACTGGGGCTTCTCAGCAATGCCCCCTCTGAGGCTCCTTAACTGCCCTTCTCTGGGCTCACCACACCTGCACTGGGGCTTCTCAGCAGTGCCCCCTTTCCAGGGTTCCTCAGTAATGCCACCCCTCTCCAGGGCTCACCACACCCACACTGGGACTCGGGTCCCTACACCACTGGGAGTCCCCTATGAGGCCCCCTCCAACCCCTAATAGTCTCACCCAGACCACCGGTTTAACAAATAGCAACACAAACACAAGCCTTCTGGCTATAACTTAAATGGAAGCCGCTTGGCCACAACAACACTCAAGCCTACTCAGGGATTCTTCATCTCACAGTCATGTTAGACACTGCCCTTCATCAGACTTCTCCTCTCTTCCCTTACCTTGGCTGTTGGCAGGGAGCCATCTCTGGCCTCAGCCCCTAGGGTTTATAAGGGCCAGGCCCTGCCCCTTACAGTCAGCTGACTGCTGGCAGGTGCGATTGCTTGTTAGCTTGGTTGCCCTGGCAACCAACAGCTGGGCTCCTTATTCACTCACTGCTAGGGTCCCTTCCCTAGCAGTTTTCCCTTCTTAGGAGCAGGGCATCTAAGTGCTCTGCGACAGTACTAAAGCATGAAGGTTATTGCTATTTAAACTACCGTTGTGCTATTTTCATGCAACAATAGGATTGCAAAATGTTTCTATCATTGTCAGCTATCCTTGCTTTTATTCAATTTTCATGGCCCTAAGCACATTAGTGGAAAATGTAATCTGTTCATGATCAGGGAACCATTACATTTTACAGCAGTCTAGAAGGAAAGAAAAAAGCATTCTCTTGAACAGGTAAAGAATTGGTTTCTGAAGGGAAAAGATCTGAAGTGTACAGATAGGAAGGTTCATGAACCAGAAAGTTTGCTGGAAAAGTGTCCCAGGATAAATGCCATCATTTATATTCACTTTCTAGGCTTATGCTGATATCTTGTCCCACATTGTTTTAGTCTAAATGACACTGCACACCGAACTGACAGTTTGGTAAAGTTTTCTTAAATATTTGCCTCTAGAGGTAAATGATCAGACTGGCATTTAATTTCCTTTGCCGTTTCTGCCCTTTGGTTTTATGGAGTATTTAACAAAAAAGGAACATATTCCACAAGTGCTCATCTGTAAAACATCAATGTAAGCTAGCCCAATTTATTAAATCTACACTATTTGCTTTCATATCCTTTACTTTAAAATTTCTCTGAATGCTTCCCATGTGGCATAAAATATGCTATCTAACTGCTTGAGCAAGAATTAATAAATTAGCACTTAATTATACTCTTGAATGTGCTGCAACTAAAAAAAAACCACTGCATGCATGTATTTACATAAATAATATTGAGCCATTAGCATGGGAAGTCTGTCTTACAGAAACGTCTGTGAGAAATCAGAAACTGTAGAGCCTACATAAGGAACTACTATTTTAGTCCCAAGACTATTTCTTAACACACACAGAGTTTATTTTAGGATTATAACTGGTGCATAGATGTTGGGCTGGTCCATGAACTGGGTAGATTTTCATTTGAAATCTCTCTCACTCTTTTCTCTATGTTGAGCTCAGATCTCAGCACTGGCAAAAGAGCAGCAGACTGATAGCGTTTCCCAACAGGGTAGCAGCAAGGAGGGCTGTGCGAAGCTTTGGTCACTGATTCGATTCAGCGGAGATTTGACCCAATTTGGCAGCCGAATATCTGAATCTGAATCAAATCAGGAGACCCTTCAATCTCTCTGAATCGAGTCGGAACCCTCCAAATCGATTCAGAGAGATTTGGAAAGATTCAATGATTCGGACATAGACACAGCTTTGTGTTTTTATACATACCTTGAGGTACCAGGCAGCTCATGAATGCTGGGATGGTGGGGCAGATGGAGCGTCCCATGGGAGTGCAGGGCAGGGAGGGCAGCATGCTTGGCAGTAGACCTGGAAATGGTCCAGAAGCACTTCCAATCCACTTCCAGGTCCACTGGGGAGCATGCAAGGGAAACCCCCCTCACACCCCCTGGCTTGGTGA